GTTGTATGTTTCGATCTGTTCAATGATAGTTCATTTATTATACTAGCTAGCTAACATGCATGCACACATGATATAAGATGCATACATCAGATATTCTAGCTAGCCTACATGCAACCCTGACATAAACCGTTAGCAAACACAGTATATATATATATATGCATATATATATATATACACACAGAAAGTAGCTTCATTATTATATATATATATATCATAGCAAGAGAATTATGTTCAACCTCAGCCCCATTTGTAATATATACCTTAGTTAAACTGATATACACTGATTAAACTGCCTCCTTCAGGAGGTCTCGCATTTCACCTTCCGGGATATCGGGTTCGGAGAGCCACGGGGCGGCGTAGGGATCCGCAGCAACAGCGGGACCGAACTCCGGAACTTCCTGAATGGTGTAGACATCCGAACCCTCGATGTATGTCTCCGGAAGATCATCCCCAGAATCCTTGGCATCTGCAAAGGAGGACGCGGCGGCGCCGGTCGTTGTGCGGCCGTCTGGGCTGAAACTCAGCTGCATGGGCTTCAGGGGGGAAGCCACAGCCACCTTGGTCTTCTTCAGCGGTGCTACATTCGGGCTGGGTTCTGGCGCCTTGGATGGCGTGTGAATCGTGCGCTTCTGCACTTCCTGATTCATTTCGGCTGCGAGGAGGCGCTCGACTTCCTGCAATGTGATGAATGTACGGTTGTGAACCAGCGATACCCCCAGAAAGAGCACTGGACAAGCCTTATACACAAAAAGCCAATCAGTCCTTAATGTCACGATCAATCACCTCTTCCTTGACATGCTGAAGCTCGATAGTGTCCAAACCCACACGAAGGGTTTCGAGGCTCCAAGCCCTGCTTGGCATGTCTTTGTGCAAAGACTTGTCAGCACCACCAGACATCGCTAGCAGTGTCGGGAAGGGTTCAGATCACCCACACAGATCGCTTGGCACGAATGCTTTGCAAAAGCTGCGACACACCCCACACGTACATGACATACCATGCTGAGGTATTGCCAAGCTGCGCAGCTGGAACATGCAAGACCTCTACATTGGCCCATGCATCTCGGAAACATTCGGATGTTTTGCTTCTGCACCAGCACTGCAGGTTAGGTTACACACACATGGTGTTGTGGTCATCCGGGGAGATATCATGCACATGCATGCGAACACAGGCAAACACAGCGAGAGATGTGCAATTTAGAGAACATATATATGATATATATATATATA